ATAATATTATGAATAATAAAGGAAAAACGTGTGTAGGTGTATTGTATGATATACATGAATACAAAATTAACTTTTAGCATAAAGTACACTAATTGCCAATATGTAAACAGTTTCATGCTTGTATGAAAACGTAAGCCTATAGATGTTTTTCTCATATCATCCACTTCATTGCTTTAATCATTTATTCATGTTTAATTTAAAGCACATGCTAAAATTATTCGTCATCGTGCTTCGGTTTCATGAAACAAAATGCGCAGGTCAAACAGTTCATTGCTAACAAGCTAAACTATTACCTACTACTTTAACCCATATTTGATGTGCCTTTCAGACTATAGTGGTAAAGACAGTCATATCATTTTAAAAGTATCACTGTAAAACATCAATTTCGCTGTCTAATTCAAGTCAACAAAATAGTTTGATGGCATTAAACAAATAATGTGATTCACGTTCAATACTCACACTCGGATCATCGTCGTCCATATTCAGTAGTTGTAATAGTATGTTGGCTTCCAATGAAATAGAGGGCGCTGTCGCGAAATACAAGGGGTCTAGAACTGCGGGTCCAGATCTGCAGGTCTGAATCTGCAGTCTCCAGGTCTGCAGACACATCCTCCTCGTACCACCAGTTGGTCCAGGAGCTTTGCCTCCATTGTGGCCATTTCAAGTACTGCACTTATATTCCTCCACGCCTGCTGTTTATTGTTGAGATGGTGGTAACTAAGGCGTTATATTTGTGTCATATGTCGCGCGAGCGGATAACACATCTGCACGCGTGCAGATCTCTCTCTCGTGTAAATTATTTTGTGTCACGCGCGCAGACTTCAACTGCCGCGCGCACTTGTTTGATCTTCGCGCACATATTCAGCAACAGAGTGAAGCAGAGGCAGGTGCGAGCAAGTAAAAAACAGCAGCGACACACACAACAACACTGTGCAGCTGCTTTGCGCGCGCTGGCTCGCTCCTGCTCTCGTTCTCTCTCTCCCCTGTGCTCGCTCGCGGTGGAGCTCTGCTCGCTCGAAGCAAGGACTTTTGACACTTTGGGGGCGGAGACCAAGGCTGACCCCGGCCCTCTTATGACTGGTCATTTTCCAGCCCCCCACGTTGGTGCCTTTTCGGTTTTCTGCTGATGACAGCTTCAGTGACAGACAGGAAGCTCAGTGGGTGTTTTTTGGTTTGTTTAGCTAACTAGCCTGGTAAGAAGCTACACGCTGACTATGAGGGAGAAAAACACACATGGAACTTGCTATGGGTTGGGGAACTGCAATAGGCTACATACTTCCATGAGAAATACGGGCTAGAGTGATGCACCATCAAAGTGATTTATTAGTTCTCATCTATTAAAGGTAGAGTCTGGAGTTTTGTTCGTTGCAGTTTGTAAACAAAACATTCAAACTGGGCCCCTCTTCTCTGGCTCAACTGTGTAGCATCCTGCCCCAGACAGCAGCAATAGCAGTTGTCAGGACCGTAAAGGAAAGGAATTACAGTCCGAGTGAAGCGCTGGAGCCATGGGCCGATACCCAGCCGTCACCAGCAACGGGAGCCTCCAGCGTTTTGTTGCAACGGGCAGGAGGGCCGTTGTGGTGAGCTGGGAAGCGGGTGTTAGCGGCGGATGCTAACCGCTACCGCTAGCCGAAGTTAGCATCGAGCTAGCTCACCACAACGGCCCTCATACCAGTCGAGGCTTTAGTTGTCGGTGACGGCCGGATATACGCCCGCGGCTCAAGCGCTTCACTCGGACTGTATTTCTTTTACTTTGCGGTTCTGCTGCTGTGAGAGAGATGTGCTAGCACTCGCTAACATCCGGGACAGCTAGTGGGGCTAGTAGCCCTCCTACTCTGCTGCACGTAACTTCACCTGAACTCTGTCATCAACACATTAATAGTAATAATAGTAATAATAATAATCAATTTAAAAGTCCATTCTCATTGAGTCGAATATCTGCGCAGATTATTTTCGCGGAAAAATATAAAAGTTGATTTCATGGGTTCTTATGGAAGTTTGCACACTGGGGCGGAACTTTCGTGCGGTGAAAACAGTTTCCGCCCAGACTTTGACCCCCGCGGAATTTGCCGGCGGAACTACACAGCTGGGCCAATGAAATTGTTTATAGTCGCGCAGACCAGGAGAGTCCGAAATCCAGTCAGGCAGGACAGTATGGGATAAAGGTTGATAATTTCACAGCACCACGTCCTTTTTGATAAAAAACGGGATGATTTAATGAACAATGAATTAAAGGACAACGTCTGGCAGTCCATTGTCCAGCTTGGTGGCTTATTATTACTATTATCAGTATTAATGTGTTGATGACAGAGCTCAGATGTATCTACGTGCAGCAGAGTAGGAGGGCTACTAGCCCCACTAACTGTCCCGGATGTTAGCGAGTGCTAGCACGTCTCTCTCACAGCAGCAGAACCGCAAAGTAAAAGAAATACAGTCCGAGTGAAGCGCTTGAGCCGCGGGCGTATACCCGGCCGTCACCGACAACTAAAGCCTCGACTGGTAACAAGTATGAGGGCCGTTGTGGTGAGCTAGCTCGATGCTAACTTCGGCTAGCGGTAGCGGTTAGCATCCGCCGCTAACACCTGCTTCCCAGCTCACCACAACGGCCCTCCTGCCCGTTGCAACAAAACACTGGAGGCTCCCGTTGCTGGTGACGGCTGGGTATCGGCCCATGGCTCCAGCGCTTCACTCAGACTGTAATTCCTTTCCTTTACGGTCCAACTGCTGTTGCTGCTGTCTGGGGCAGGATGCTACACAGTTGAGCCAGAGAAGAGGGGCCCAGTTTGAATGTTTTGTTTACAAACTGCAACGAACAAAACTCCAGACTCTACCTTTAATAGATGAGAACTAATAAATCACTTTGATGGTGCATCACTCTAGCCCGTATTTCCCATGGAAGTATGTAGCCTATTGCAGTTCCCCAACCCATAGCAAGTTCCATGTGTGTTTTTCTCCCTCATAGTCAGCGTGTAGCTTCTTACCAGGCTAGTTAGCTAAACAAACCAAAAAACACCCACTGAGCTTCCTGTCTGTCACAGAAGCTGTCATCAGCAGAAAACCGAAAAGGCACCAACGTGGGGGGCTGGAAAATGACCAGTCATAAGAGGGCCGGGGTCAGCCTTGGTCTCCGCCCCCAAAGTGTCAAAGTCCTTGCTTCGAGCGAGCAGAGCTCCACCGCGAGCAGGCACAGGGGAGAGAGAGAATGAGAGCAGGAGCGAGCCAGCGCGCGCAAAGCAGCTGCTCAGTGTTGTTGTGTGGCGCTGCTGTTTTTTACTCACTCGCACCTGCCTCTGCTTCACTCTGTTGCTGAATATGTGCGCGAAGTTGAAATCTGCGCGCGTGACACGAAATAATTTACACGAGAGAGAGATCTGCGTGCGTGCAGATGTGTTATCCGCTCGCGCGACACATAGTAACTGCAGTTTGTAATGTTGTATAGCTGTGGATATCCAGCAACCGCTACCACCAGTTTCCCCTCCACCAACTGTAAACTTGTTGTCGTGACCACCACAGAAGGCTCGCCTGTCAGATCATCTGATTGGACACTGAGAAAAAAAGTGGAGATGACATGGGCTGTGTTTCCACTCGGAGTTGAAGTTTTTCAACTTGAGGAGTTCAGGGCGCTCCAATAAAAACGCCAGCAAAGCGCTTAAACGTGAGGTACGCAGCAATGCAAAAACAGCGAGCAAAAAGCCTCATTCTCATTAAAAACAACTATAAAAAGCCACCTCTAGCTGCTTAAACACTTTTGTTGTGATCGAGGCCTTAAACATAAACTCTGTTTTAAAATAACTGTGACCAATATCTGTAAAGAGAGACACTGTTCCTTAGGGTTGCATGATAATATGGGCAGGTTATCTGTATTGGCAGATATAGGCTTTAAAACTGATTATCAGAATCGGCTAACATGCTTTTTCTTACTTTGCGCAATGAATGAGTATGACATACATTAAAAAGCATTCTATTTCATGTCTCCATCTGCTATTAAGCCATCACAATAAAAGTATGCATGCATAATATGATGTTAATTCCACTACAGAATAGACTTGATGATCACTAAAATTAGGTGGGGAAAAAAGTGGATATATTGATTTGGCACTGGTTATTGGTGAATTGAATTGTTATATATCGACATATTGGATATTGGTAAAAAATCCAACATTGTGCATCCCTACTGTTTCCAAATGACCTCAAACATATATTTCTGTACAGACACATACACTGATACAAATGCACCTGCAATAAGCTAAAACAGGGCAATGTATTGGTTAGGCTCTCAGTCAGAGCATGTAAACACATTATCAGATCCTTATATTAAAGGGACACTGATTTAAACAACTGTATAATTTGATTTAATCAATTTTCTAAGAAATACAAGAAATGTCAAATCTGGGAGAACAACCCTGATGATGTCACTATGATGTCAGGTCAAGAGACTATTCAGATGCACTATGTGAAGTCTAACAGAACTAATGTTTTTGAAGCTTGACCCATACTGGGAACTGAAAGTCAGAATATCTTAGTCTCTGCTGCTTCCATTTTGGCCATTCTTTTTAAAACCCTCTCTCATTAGTCCTGAACTTTGTGGAAGTGCAATACTAAGACACTGGAGTACAACTTTAAGCACTCATGTAAATGCTTTGGTCCATCAGACTGGCTACATATAGAAGTACTGTAAAGAATAACTGTACGTGACCACAGCCAGTCATAATCACCTTTTTTGGCTGCTATTAAAGTTTTATGAATGAGGGCCACCGTGTCTCCCAGCTAAATAGATTAGATTTTAATCACATCAATACTAGCAAAGGACTTGTAAAACAAGGATGCATTTGGACTGTTGGTTGCTGTAAATGTAAAAAGCATTTTCTTATTGCTTGGGTTTATGGCTGTAATCTTCTTAATGTGTATGTGTATGTGTCTGTTTGTGTGTGTGTGTGTGTGTGTGTGTGTGTGTGTGTTGTACACCGGAAGTTTTAAGATTGGACTGTCTTCTTTTTCAGAAGCTGAGGAGCTGTATCAGAAACGTATTTTAACAATAACAGGAATCTGCATTGCACTCCTAGTCGTTGGAATCATGTGTGTGGTTGCCTACTGCAAAACAAAGTAATTCATGTCACATTTTTATGTTTAATTTATGACTTTTTATCGTGCCCAATAGTTCTTCAAGTCCCCAAATATTCTCAACAGTGAACTGTGTTGTGTTTCAAAATGTCAGTACTAACTAAGTAAAGTAAGTACGTTTTTTGCTCAGCATGTGTCAAAGGCTGGGTTACAAAATAGCGGATTGAAGAATAAGTACATCCTAACAAATAGACAAAAACAAAAAAGTATGTGAATTAGAAAATAAATATTTGCTCAGTTAACCTCAATCAGGGCAATGAATCATCAGTAAAATGTCTAAAAGGTGTTAGGATGAGATTTGAAATACTCAGCTATCAGGTTGCTGACCTGATTCACAGAGGGAGACTGTTTCATAACCTGGGAACCAAGACAGCAAAGCTCAGCTAGCCCATGTCTTGAACTCTAAGCACAAAAAAACTGGACTTTTAAAATACATGTAAACATGTTAGTCTAACTGAAATCATGCCAAATTGAATTTCTCAAAGTCGGACTAACACATCCAGATAATATGATTGGGCGTCAAATTACTCCTGAATGTATACAGTCAATTGCACCCATCTAGCTGAGGCGCTCTGTGCATGCTCCACAGTTTCTGCCTGGAAACTGTGTTTGACCGAAAATTGAATAGAATTAAATGCGTAACAGAAGAAGAGAACAAAAAAAAGAGTAAAGCACACAGCATGTATGAAATGTACAGAGCTGTAAAGTTGTCCACCGTGGTACCACTTTGCCGCTAGCCAACTGCAGTAACTAACTAACTATTAGCTAACCACTAACTTGTTTGTTGATTGTTTGGTCGGTGACGTAATAGGTCAACTGGAAAAAGGTCCAACACTAATGAGCTGGAAGGGGGCATATCATCACCTATCATAGTGGAGTCAGACATACTTAAGTCAATATATCCCATGCTTGTATACTGGGACAAGGACAGTAAGTCCAATTAAATGGCCTAGTTGAGCTATAACCGTAGCTTGACTTAACCGTGCATGTAAACATAATGAGTGTCTTAGAGTGTCTGGATTTAAACGTACTACAAGAAATTACAAAAGTCAAGACTGAACAACAAAAATGACCCTGAGGTCTTTGGAAACCAAGTTTGAGTTAGTAGCCAGGTGGCCTTATGTAAACTTCTAAATGTGTGAATGGGGGAGTGGAGGGTCAACAATGCTTCAGTTTTGTTGTGATTTAGCTGCAGAAGACTAAGACATCTAGGCACTGACCCTCAGACACTTATGTAAAGTAACCAGATCAGAAAGTTTTCAAGGTTTCACAAATAAATAGAGCAAGACATCATCTGCATAGTAATGATCAGGGGTACAGCCAAACCAAAGCAGCTGAGAGACGTCTGGGGACTCTGTGGTGCTATTGGACACAATAACAATATTGTGGAGTTTTTTTTTGTACTGGCCTCAATATGCAACAAAAAAACATACATTACCATTACTACAGTCAAGCCATTGTAACATTAAAGGATTTGGGGGTAAATGCATCTCTTTAGGTACATTTGGAACTTTCGCCTCAGACATGTTGTCCAGTTGCGATCTGGGCTCCTTTACAATCTTGTTTGTTTTCTCCACAAACAGGAAGCAGAGAAAGAAGCTCCATGACCGTCTGAGGCAGAGCCTGAGGAATAAGAGGAACAACAATACCAATAATGGTGCTGGCCCCAATCTGGCAAGCTCAGCCAGAGGACGTCAGATTTCGAACTTGCCTCTTAAAGATTTGCAGCTTATCAATGTATGCTGTTACTTGTTGGTGTTATATAAAAGTTATCAAAACTTGTTAAATCTGTACACACATGTCAATCGTTTATCTGTTTTTTGCTCCTCTTTCTCTAGCAGTGTAATGGGTCAACTGTGCAGCATGCAGCTGAAGGGGAGACAGAAACAACCTTCTCCACATGCAAAAATGCTTTCTCTGCGTGTGAACCCACCACATTCACCCACATCTCCAGCCAAAGGTGAGGAAGCACTTAAAATATTATTATATTATATTATATATTTTTGAGCTTCGTTAATTTGGTTTGGTTTTAATTTATCAGAACTTGGTCTAACAGCACCACACAGCAGACCAGCAACTCTATCTGCACAGCCACAAATGTTTCTGTGTTTTACTGTTGTAATGTTTCCTGATGCATCACTGTTCAGGACATAGGTGTCACTAATGGTGAGAAGAGCTCAGATTGGGCCCACAGTAGGCGTGTCATATTCTAATGGTTTGAAGAGAGGATGGAGAGGTCAAGATAGAAATCATTGGAAAAAAAGCTTGTGCAGTGTTCTCACAATGAATTGATCCATGCTTGTTTTTTGGGCAAACACAAACATCTGTAATAACAGAACAAAGGTTTACAGGTAATCAATGTAATCTGTGATTTTGCTACGACTGTTTGTTTCCATAGTGCATTGTGCAACACCCTCTGTTGATGACAAATCCTTGATCACAAGGGTTCCGTGCAAAAGTGGTGGAAACGCAGGCTGGCTCCCTAGATAGAGCCAAGGTTCACTAGGTTCAGTAAAGAAATAATAACTCGATCTTGATTACAAAATATTTTCTTTGGTCGCAGCTGGACTTCATAAAGGCCAAAACACACCAGCAGCGAACACCCCACATCAAAAAATATGCCCCTATTATTTTCAATGTACAACCTCACACTGGTGGTGTTTAGATGCATGTTGTCGCTCCTGGATGTGCAGCCCTGCGGCACTTTACACCACTGTCCTATTTCCAGCTTTGCTGCCCCCGGAATTAAATGCATTTTTCCCCCGCGTGCTCACATACCAGCTCCTGTAGCAGCTCTTTTTTTCTGCTGTGTTAGCTTGAGCTAACGGGGCAGAGAGAGCAGGAGGAGAGAAGCTTATGGAGACGGACCTTCAGCACTGTGTCCAATGACATTAACAGCTGATTGGCGACAATCAGCAGTTTCTGCCCCCCAACCCCCACCTGCCCCTATTACCACAAATAGATTCTAATTCTGTGGGAAACACCTAATTATAATAATAACAAACTCTGAATCCATTACAGTATCACAACTGCGATTTTCACCTGCCCCCACAATTTTGTTTAACAAGACAAGGCATGCTAAGCTTTCACAGAGGAGACAAAGCCTGGAAAAAGAACTCTGAATCTAAAAATACTTAAGAAAGTCTATGATGGTAATCAAGGGTCTCAAGCCTACAATAAAAGTAAGTAAGGATATCAACACAATTCCACACCACTGACATTATTACCAATCCGGACATTTTGATTACTAGCTATTGGCTATAATCCAGATGTTTGAGTTGCCTCTTTGGGTGTGGCTCTGTTGAAAACCTATTTGTAAATGAATCTATAGCCCCTTTTACACTACCAGATTTTCCTTCCGCAACGGGAGGGGCTGTTGATGACTTGTGGGAGAAGCTGTTGATGACGCCGCACATATGAGCCACTGGCAGTGGATAAACAGGAAACAGCTGATACCAGAAATTAGCGAGCAGCTAGTAGCATGAGGGAAACGCAAACCTGACAGACACTGTAAAGACGAGCAAACTGAGGAGACAAGGAATTGCATGCCCTCCTTGCCCTTGCAAATGAAGAGGCCATTAACCGTCAGATGACAGGAACGGTGAGGAATGGGCCGACTTACTTCTGTATAAACAGAAGTAGGTTTAGCAAACTAAACACTTAGCTTTGGCGAAGCCAACTAACCAATGACCTGACTGCAAACAATCACATCAGTTACTCAGTAAACAGCATTAAATCACATACAACAGGTTAAACAGTCTTGCTTAGCCTGTACAGCTGTGATAAAACTATGCCCAGTTGTTACTTTACCGATCCTTGAATGGATGGAAGAAAGAGTCGCTTTATGGTGTGCTGCTTTGTTAGCTGGCAGAGGAAGGCGGGAAAGAGCTGTAGTTCCAGATGCGGTTTTCTTGTGTCCTTGTTCTGAAGGTGAAACTCCGAGGAAGCTGGTCGCTCAGGGCCTTTGCAGAGTTAGACGCTGTGTGCTAACTCACTTGGTTCTCCTTGTTGCTAGAAAGCTAGTTGCAAACCTTGTGCTTGCAAATCTAACTTCTCTGGTTCAGGTTTGCCTTTGTCTTGAGCGTGGGCAAGTCGTGGTCCAGGAAAAAGGGAGTCTGTGATCAATTGCCCTCCCTTTAGTGGTTTGGGGCAATGGCCTCTGAGTTGGCCAGAGGTGGTGTGTGCTGCTCGGCATCTCATGAGCAAGAGAGCATCTGGGCTGTTCCAGGCCCAGCAGAAAAAAAGAAAGAGTCTGAATGGAGCAGACTTATAGATGCCTGTGACATCACAGAGTCACATGTCACTGTAAAAGTCCTGTCCAATCAAGTTTGGCAACTGTTCTCACTGAGGTGAGAAATAGCTCTCTTTGTCTGAAGAACAAAGAGCATGCAGAGAAGAGAAGCCTTCACATTTCCAGTTTAGATTTTAACAAATGACAAATCATCTGTGGTCCTGTGAATCCCAACAGTATTTTGTTAGTACTGAAGTTAATAAGTATCTTTTTAAATCTTATTTAGACGGTGTGCAACAGATCCACATCCTTTCTATATAGATATTGTAAAAAATAGTATTGATATTACACAAAATATTAAAGGAAACCAGCTAGTTCTATTTCCTTAATCTCAGAACCAATTTTAGGAGATCCAGCTAAGACATTTGAGTTTGCCGCTCATTTCAGCTAATCTCTATAAACAGCTATCTGTATGTGAATGCTGATAAATTTCAAAAAAGCTAATACACTGGAAAGCTAAAACAAAGTGTTCTGCCTCTCCACACGGACTATAACCTGCTGCTGAAACATGATTGGTGACTACCAAGCAGACTACAAAAACAGCAAAAATCTTGCACGGGACAGCTTCTCATATTAATATGCCCTTGATGCATCAGTAGCATCAGTCAGACATTACCTTCTGCGGTGTTATGATACACTGCTGATCAGCTCGATGGCACCTGTCGCAGCTCTATGATGCGGGGACTGGTGGCATCAATTCATAATGTGGCCCGATGGCACCTGTTGCACCACGATATGCTGGCGTCGGGTTGAAACGCTGCCAGTAATGATGTAATATGAGGAGCTGGAAAGTTCCTATATAGCAGGCAAACTGATGGTGGTTGGGTACAACAAATCCCCTGACTTTCATCCAAGAGCCTGGTGTTAACTTCCCGTATGAACGTAGAGTCGGTTGACATACTAGCGTCGGTAGTGGCATTGTTGAACGTCAACAGCAAACACAAGAGAATACCTAGCATATAATATGTAGACATGAAAGGCCACTGACAAAGTGGCGATATGTGATGACTTGGGATGAGAACGAGCTGAATGATCAGGAATATAATGGATAATTTATAATAATCATACAGAGATGTTAACCAGGTTTTTATGTTATGCATATCCTGAATAGGATTAAAACAAGGCGAAGACATCTGTAAAAGTATGATGATTTTGCACAGAAAAAAAGTTAAGCCCGCTTGAACTAAATATAAAACAATCAAATACTATAATATAATATAATGGTTATAAAATATAAATGATCAACCCCACAGATTACCTGCAATGTATCCTCATAGAATGGTTTGTATGATATCCTACGAAAATGCACACACAACAGCGTCCCATGAATGACATTACGTCCTTAACATACAGTTATGTAATTACCGTAAAGTTGTGGAGGCTAGGTTTAGGGAAGTAAAGTCACTAGTTATGTTTCCATACAAAAGTGATTCAAATCATTGGGAAATGCATATTAAAAGAAATACGAATCCTGTGTGTTTCCATTAAATGTACGGACTTTGGGGAAAACTACAAACTTGCGCAAGTTTTCCACAGAACCGGAAACAAAACAAGTCTCACATTCTTCTTTTACATTTTCTGTTGGTTGGCAACCAGCTTGTAAATGCATTACCGTCTTCCCGACCCGGAGTGTGGATATCACCATGGAGAGAGGTGGACTACGTCAGACTTAATTCGAACATAACTGTTTCCATCCCCCATTTTGCGAATCAACATTTTTTCAAATCAACCAAAACCCCGCTAAAGCCAGCGTATTTCAGTTTTTGCAAATCAGGGGATTTTAATTCGAATTTTGGCGTTTCCATCATAATTTTCCGATGCGATACCTCTAGATGCGCATCTAAACAGGCTGATGGAAACATGGCTATTGTGGTTAGGTTTAGGAAAGGAAACATGGTGAGGACGTATCGTAAAATGACTCAAAGTTCACTCAAAGTTCACGCGGTTCTGAACACATGACTCCAGGTGAAACTCCTGGGGAAAAGTCTGCATTTTTGTGACCCATCCACCATCGCAACCTGCCTTCTTACAAGACTGCTCAAGACTGCTTCCTTGTTTACTCCCATCAGCGCATTGGTGACGTGGTTGCAGCCTTTCAAAATATATAAGATATGTATTAATTTCGGTGCATTACTTTGCGTAGGAAAATGTTCAAACTGTTAATGAGAACAGCATGCACAGCATCAAGGATGTTTTGTCTAGGACACCAAATTGTTTGGAAACAACCCTGTGTCCATCAGGACATTGCTCATATCTTGCAGACACATCAAAAAACATACAACAGGTTGTATACAAACATATACATAAACTTCAACAAATACATATTCATTGAAAATGCAGTGATAACACAATAACGGTAATAGATAATAATTATTAATAATAAATTAATAAGAATTATTTTTATTGTGGCCCTTGCCAAGCATATATAATTAACTGCTGCATCAGTAAATTAAAGTGAATCCATGCAGACTGTGAGCAAACTGGAATGAAATACAGTGAAAGGCTCAGGGATACAAATCTGACCCGAAATATATTGATGTCATGGTCGAGAGAACTGTCTGAAACCTGTCTCCAAGTAAATGACCCCCTCCCTGTCTCTGCAGCTGGAGTAATGACTGGAGCAACAGTGTTCTGTCTGACACTGAGTCTGTCTCTGTGATGTCATTGGC